CGTGGCTGTAGGCTCTTCCTTGGTCCCGGTGCTCGTCTAGGACCTGTCGCAGCACAGGCTGGGCAGGACCGAGCCGTCCTCCACCGAACCAACAGCAGGCTGAGGAAGCAACCTGTAAAAGGCTGGTTTGTGGGAGCAGCTCAAAAGAACCCTGAGAGCGCCTTCACCAGGGCGTGCTCGACCTGCCTTGCTCCCGGGGGGTGGGGGGCGCCCCTCGCTGGTGAAGGGAGGGCCTGCCCTTTGCCTCTGAGCCGTCTCGCTGACCTTCTGCCTCGCCCCTTCGCAGATATGAGGGAGCCCGTGTTTGAATTCGTGCGGCCGCCCGTTTACCGTCCGCCACAGGTAAAGTTCCCGCGCCACCAGCCTCTGAGGTACCTGGACAGATACCGAGACGCCAAGGAGCCCACCTACGGCATTTACTAGGGACCTGGCCTCCTCTCGAGGTGCTCTGGTGTACGCTGGGATGGCGGGCAGGCGGGTGGGGCTGCCGGCTTCCCTGCGTTCACACGAGGTGACAAAGTCTCAGGCCCGTGGCTCCCAGTTCCCCTGTGCTGGGAAGCGCAGCTGAGGGCAGCAGGCGGTCGCAGGGCTGGCAGCTGTGTGATCCCCAAGCTACTTGAAGAGGACGTTGATAGGTGAAAGCAAATCCATGACCAGGCTGAAATCTTGCTACCGATTCTGTGGCAGAGCGGGGTGGCAGGGTAGAGTCCCCCCGCGGAGGTGCCCTGCCTTGCTTCTCTGCAAGGATCACTGTTCTCCTTTTGCCTGTTTATGGAGCAAACAGAGCCAGGCCAGCCTGGATTTCCTCCTGTTACAGCGCTGCGGTTCAGGACTGTGTCAGCTTTCGTTTGGGCAGTCCTCTTGAAGAGATGAGTCTGATTAAACACACTCTGAGCGATGCTGGCAGAGGTGTCTTTATTGGGAAGAGCCTGGTATCCCAGAGCTGGGGAGCTGAGCTGGGTGCAGGGGAGAAGGGCAGCCCTTTCCCTGGCTGGGGTTGCTTTCCCCCTTGGACGTTGCGAGGTGGGAAGAGCGCAGCTGCGCAGGGGGTAAACCTGCACAGGGGCAGCGTTGGTGGAGCTGGCTTCTCCCAGCGG